TGGGTCACCTGGGTGCAACATCCCCCCATCCCCTTCTCCCCCACCCCACCTGTAAAGACCTCGCAGACAAATACAAACAGGGGCCCAGGATGACCAAGCTGTGAGTGGCTCCTGGCGGAAGCCTCTAGTACAGGGTTTCCCAAACTCGGTCCTCGGGACCCCAAGGGGTGCACGTTTTTGGTTTTTGCCCTAGCACTACACAGCTGAAATAATCATCAACTAATCATCAAGCTTTGATGATTTGAATCAGCTGTGTAGTGTTAGGGCAAAAACCAGAACGTGCACCCCTTGGGGTCCCGAGGACCGAGTTTGGGAAACCCTGTACAAGTAGACTAAAGAGTAGTGTTTATTAGAGACGCTCTGACTGAGCCTCTCTCAGATTCGTGAGTAGCACTCTTGTAAAAAGCGGTGGAGTTATAAAACATGTTAGTCATTGAAACTGTGATTTTGAGTAGAAGACTATAAAAGTGCAGCAGATGCTGGAACATCCACCTTTCAGGAGAGCTCTTTAATATACTCAAAATTGGGGTGTGGGGGGGAACAAGGAAATAAGTGCATGAATAATTACAGCTATAAACACCTCAGGGGATTCAACAGGTTTCTGATATTTTCTAAATGTTTCCGCCTCTTAAAATAGGCTTGTACATATTTTATCTTGAGGCTTCTTTATAGCCATCCACTTCAAAGCGCTGAGGATGAGAGCCCCTTATCGTCATTTGTATTTAAATCTGCAGCTTCTCTGTCATTTCCTGCTGTTCCTTTATTAAAGGCCCAGTGCAGTCAAAAACTTGATTTTCCTGTGTTTTATATATATTTCCACACTATGAGGTTGGAATAATACTGTGAAATTGTGAAAATGATGATAATGCCCTTTTAATGTAAGAGCTGTTTGAAAAGACAGCAATACATTTCAGCTTGTTTTGGTGGGATGGAGTTTGGCCTGCCTGGTGACCTCACCAGGCGCTAAATTAGTTAATAGACCAATAAGAAAGAGAGTTCCAAACCTCTCTGCCAATAACAGCTAACTTTCAGTTTTCCCCTCCCCACTCAGACCACTCACAGACAGTCTTAGCTAAATTCTTGCTTGAGAAATTGCCCTTTGCTAGGAAGCTATTTTTGTTTCTTTTTGACCATTTTAATTAAAAACAATCACAGTAAGGTACTTCATTGTTCGCCAGAAATTATTTGATATTGAGATAAAAATGGCTGCATTGGACCTTTAAAGCATTTGCTAACTCTCACCTGAGGCTCAGAGAAAGAGAGAGAGAGAGAGAGTGTGTGGTCTCACCCCCTGCATCCCCTGGCACCCTATTCCCTGTATAGCCCTGGTCAAAAGAAGTGCACTAAATAGGGCCTAGGTTGACATATGGGACACAGTCACTCCCGCACACATACAGCTGCCACTGCTAGCCTGCCCTGTCCCACCCTTACTGTACAACACAGCAACATCATCACAAGTTGCCTACCAGGATGCTTTTAGTTGGTCTCAAAGTCAAAGGTCAGGACATAATGTACAGGATATACATTCTCTGACTGACACGGCTTTCTCTGAATGTTCTGCTACGGTCAATACATCTATTAGGCTCCTCTGCCACACCTCCACCATCATCCTTGTTCATTTAAATAATCTCATGCTTACATGTTAAATTACAACAAGGAGCAGTTTTGGAGCAGTCCCAAGTTTCCAAGTAGTTTGTTCACACACACACAAGCGGGCGCAAAGCTGCTTTTCTTTAGCGGAGCATAATCCAGCACCACTGTTTCTTATCGTTGTCAGTCAGAGGCACAGAGCCCCAGCCCCTGGGCTTGTATGCAGGGATTACAGGGCCTAAGTCAGTGTTCCTGCTTTTGGTTACCTAGGGACTAGGGGGCTAGTTGAACAAGCCAGTGTAAACAGCACTTCACAATGCCAGACGAGGATGTGTGATCTGGGGACGTGCGATCCTGGGCTTTGCTTGTAATGAATCCCTTGATCTGGGGAAGGACAAACACTTAAGGCACAGATAGTTCAGCACAGAAGCAAGGCAGAGACACACCCACAGACAGAAAGAGGGAGAGATACGGAGAGGGAGGGCTGAACTGGTAAAGTAACATTTTTAAAGATTGTATCCTGTTTCCTGTATGACGATACTCAAAAAGTTGACTGACAGAATTTAAGCGGAACACCAAAAAGCTCAGTTAAGAGTATTACGCCACTCATGAAAATTCACTACGAAATATTTGAAACAACTAGCTGGCCTTTTAAAATGTTCACTTGCTCAAGATTCAATACAATGAAGAAACAATGTGAACACATCCGCGATTAACTGTTCTTTACATTCGAATTGAACAGGTTAAGTGGGATATGATTTACAGCCGCCCCAGTCTGTCTGCTAGACATGTTAGTGCCTGTGATCCACACGGTGAAAACCACATCTTCCACATCACAGGCTCTCTGGGCTCTGATGATTGTCCTGACATTCTAGCCCTCCATGAGCACAGCACACCGCAAACATCCTCCTCCGGGGCCACATCACCCACTGGGATGCAAGGCCATCAGAGAGAAGAGGGAGAGAAAGAGAGGAGATAGGGAGGAGAGGAAAGAGGAGGGGAGAGAAAGAGGAAGGGGGATAGAGAGAACAGAAAGAAAAGAGGAGAGGAGAAGGAAAGAAGGAGAGAGGAGAGAAAACAAGTGTATTTATGGAGGCGAGACAGACGGTAAGGAAGAGAAAGAGAGGGGTGATTGCAAAGGAGATTAGAAGAGAGGCATGATGGGCAGGACACCATGAGGAGGCAGAGAGCGGAGAGAGATGGATGGGCAGGTGAGGAAGAGTGCATTATGGTGAGGATACCATGAAGAGGGAGAGAGAGAGGGGAGAGAAATAGATATATCAGGAGGAGTGTATTCTGGTGGCTCTCATTTAGAACCCTTCATCCGCAGGGGTTTGACTCCTTCAGATGAACCTCTTCTACTGATCCCCTCCAATTCAACAAAGTCTTCTGGTAATCCAAAGCATTACACACACCCTAACCCTTCTCGCTCCACAGCTACACACTCAGGAGGAAGCTTTGTTCAAAGAAAAGCTAGGGAAATCTAGTACAGCATCTGGGATTGTCTCAAATCGCCTTCTTTAGACACTCTCTCTGGAAGGACAACTGATATCTACATTAATGTTACAGCCAGAACATAATTCCCTGGCATGTCCCATGAAACATCGCTGTAATAAGGGTATTAGGACGTGTTTGGCATAGAAGGAGCACGCTTTCCAGCCTCATGTGTTTTCTTTTGAGACGTTGTAAAACGATTTTTGTAAAGAGAATAGATTTTTGTGAAATTCTTTTGAAGAGTTAATAACATTAATTCTAAAATAATAAGGAGTGTGAGTCAACTGTCTGGGGGAAGAATCAGCTAATTAGACAATCTGTTCATTGAGGCCTTTCAACTAATTGAAGAAATGTACATATTTTATAACAAAATGGTTTCAAATACTCCTTTCAATAGTCGAATACTAGTCTTATAATAGTCTTATATATTCTAACAAAATTAATTATTACCCTGTGGATAGTCTACTCTAAAAAGGCTAGTTTTTACAAGGACATTTTAAATGCCTAAACAAAAGTTCAACAGACAAAAATAAATAAAAAAGGAGAATATTTATTTCATAGTTTCTGGGAGGTAAATTCACTAATTGCTACCAAAACAAATAACAAAAAAAAGCATCGACCAAGTCAAAACCGACAAATGAACCCAGCTAAAACAATTAGGTGATAGAGCGCCTGAGCTGAGATAGAAGCAGAAGAGCGCCCGCCTCTGGGTGAGGAGAGGTGAAGACAGGCATCACCTTGTTCAATGTAAACATTAGAACTGGAACACCAAACAGGAGGGGATCCACAGCCCTGTTTCCCCTCACGTCCCACTGCCATGTCCCATGCTATAATCACCATCTACACCCTTCCTTTCAAGTGGCAGGTAGATAGATCTACAGCTACAGTACTGCTATTGCTGCTGGGTAATTACAAGGGACGCAACAAGTGAGCATTGTATGGAACTGTGGAGACACACACACACACACACAAGGAAGAAAGTGCTCTTTATTCCCAAAACAATCTTTAGAACCTCCGTGCTTCGCACTGCGGGGCAATTAAGGATAAAACGGGGGAATTCATTTATAAGAAGAAAGAGGTAGTGACACATTCATTTCTGGACATAACACTGAAAATAATTCATAGTATTGTGTTTACTTTGTAATGACAACTTTATAATGTCTCAATAAAATGTGTTAATTATTTTATGATCTGATGCATTTGGAGACAAATGTAGCCACTGCATAGAGCCTAATAATACAAACAGAAGATTGTTTTTGTGTCTCACACACTCGCATACATACACACACATACAGACACAGACACACACACTTGACACTTTTAGGTCATTTGAGTGGTCAACATGACTAGGTCTCATATCCAACCCCATTTTAACCTGAGCTTCTGATTGTGCTAGCGTTTCTTTCAGAACACTTCAAAGAAAGACTGTTGGAAAAGACTTTTTAAAACACCATGCTTAATATTAGAGTGTTTGCTGCTTTCACAGATTTAACAAAATGTGCATCACCTAATCAAAGATGCATAGTTCCTTGTTAATGTTTTATGTTATAAGCTACCAATACCCAGAAAACCTACAAAAGTGTGAGCAAAGGGAGTGAATCAACACAGTGTCAGTTAGTCACACCTCAAAATAAGCTTTGTTTTTGATGTGCTACTGATTCAGACCATACTCAAACTTGTATGAGGGTGCGGATGTATACTTAATATCAGAGAGTAATACATGGCAGTACAGAAATAAATATCTACTGGTGTACACATGACTTTTCATTGTTGTTTTAGACTTTCTAATTTCCTTACAGTTTGTTATCCTTGCATTTGACTTTCAGGTATAGACGTTTAACTGATGATGCACCCGTTATCACAAATTGATTCATTCTGAGTCTTATAATAATCCAACAGAGTGATTAACTCTACATTGCGATGTGGAAGGTAACGTGTTGTGGACTTACAGATGGTGACACTGATCCGCTGGGGATGTATGGGTCGGGCAGCATGAGAAACGGGTACCCTGGATACAGTGTTTTATGCATTCCTCCATCTTGATGTTTGGAAACTGTGGAGTGAGACAAAGATGTGAGATAATATGTTTTCTCTTGTTCACTTACCTTCCAAATAACTTTTTAGCCTACTGTAGTTAAAACTGGTATAATAAGCAAAAGTATTTTCAACAAATAATGATAGAGAGTTCTTCGACAAATTGTAGGTTACAGACTTGTTTTACTACTGTCACATATTTGTGTGACAAAGTGACAGCCCTAACCTTGCATTGCATCACAAAAACAGCCAAACCCCAATCCCTTGTTGTTGCTGTTGTTGTTGTTGTTGTTGTTGTTGTTTGTTACTCACCACATTGGGCTAGCCACTGATCTCTAAAGTCTAGAGTGTGATGGTAACAAAATGTGTGATGCATCGTTACAGGCTGTCCAAAAAGAGGGTCATTGATCCACATGGATGTTTTCAACTCCCTTTAAGGTAATTGCATGAGTGGACAAATGTTTGTGATTTATCATATTCAAACATTGATACTGAACTAGAGCACATTTATACATTTTAAATAACGTTTAGCTGCCTTTAAATGTGAGGTTCAGCACAGGCAAAAATCAATTTGTGTTTTTGACAGAATTGGCCCCATATAGGGGCAAGAAATAAACCTAATGTAAAGCTGAAGCCTACTATATACTTTTGGTTTTCATTAGGTCTTTCAGAATGAAGTTACTTTAAACATTATTACCATGTCATAACCTATGTAGCCCAGGGAATGCAACCTCACACAATATTGTCAGAAATCTCAGGAAACGTATTTCACTCACTGCGATACAATTTGCCTACTTCAGCTACTGTCGGAGTTTGTTAGTTCTTACCGCAGTCGAGATGCTCCCGGTGTTTCTCTTGATAACCTCTGTGTTCGTTTTGCTGTCCCCGTCTGACCGCCTGAAAGTGTCCAAAGCAATGACAGTAAACATAGATCAGTAACCTGAGAATAACTTTGAACAGGCCAGGCGACAAAAGTTTCATACTAAGACCCCTCAACAACCCCTTTCAACCTTACCAACAGCGCATAAGAACTCTCTCTCTCTCTTGTACCTACCGCTGCGTTCGGACTTTGATTTGTCTCCGATTCATTCACCAGAGACGACTTGAGGTCAGCTAAGTCCCTTTCTGTGAAAGCGTTTTCTTGAATTTTCTCATCTTGATCGCCTTCATCCTTAAAGGATATCATTTCATCGTTCGCTCCGAGATCATCTCCTCCGCCACTACTGAGCTGAGGCATGTTGCTTTGAAAATAAAAATTCCTGTCCTAGCCTAATTAGAGGTGCACTCCTCAGAAAAAAAGAAACGAAACTTTCTATTAATCTAAACCACCCAAGTTTGTTGCACTCAGATACGGCCAAAGTATTAAACTAAACAAAAGTTGCTCTGCTGTGGAGCGGCCCTGCAAGTTGAATGTAATGTAGCCAGGCAGCAACAAATAGCGCATTTGAGCTCAAGACAAGGCGAGGACTCCCAACATCAAAGAGCGCCGACCGGTGATTGACAGATTCAATGACTTGTTGGGGGTTGTACAATTGTTTCCGCAGAGGGTACAGTTCTTAAAGAGACATCACCTAAGAACCTGCTGGGCATTAGCCCATTCAGGACTTTTAACACTTCATCATGGATAAAGTTACTTGTTTTTAACAAAGGGGACATTTTGTATGAGCAAACGATCTTTCAGATTATTGAGCATTGATAGATCATTCCCACAACGTTATCTAATGTGTAACATTGTTATAACATTGTTATACATTGTTATATATACATACACACACACACACACACACACACACAGATACAAAACCTAAAACCATGTTATCCCAGCATTTGTGAAGTTGTAGAAATATTTATTTGACATTTGTATTGACATAGTGAGAACATCAGAGACATGTAGGACATCCCCTGTAAACCATCATAAAAAGACTCAAGCTCATCAATAAAAGAGGCATGGCATGTCTCGCTAGTCTCTACAGCACTTGGATTTTGTTGTAATCTCCAAAAACAGCAACTGTCTAGAATGAAACTGTTTGATTGATGGAAAAACACAATTTGGAGGGGAAAGGGAATGTAGTTCAAAGATGTAGACCAGGAATATGGTGTTTTGTCAAACAAGTATCTGTCTTTTCTATTTTTTCACGTCAATGCATTTTTTATACTGATACAGTAGCATGGTCTTCTGAGTTTTAATTGAGAAACATTTATACGCTCCCATGCTGTGACTTAATATTTGGTTTAATCTGTTGCCTTGAATGAAAATGATGAACCACAACTGGGAAATAGAATGAAATACAAACAGAAAATGTGCCTAGTATTTGCATAAAGCTGCATATTTATCCAATATCGGCCATGCATATGAATAAAAATATTAAAATGAGCTGTTTAATGTATGCAAATCTAAATTATAAATGAGTTGTTTAAACTCCTTGTTTATTCACTCTGATTAAATATGGACAGCTGTTTTTCACAGAACCAGTTTTACTATGTGGCTTACTTCACAAGTTCTTGATTCTTTGGCACTTTTTGTGTGTGTGTTTCTATGTGCTCACATTGGTTTCACATATCCTTGAGGTGGGGTATGCGCTTGTTCCTTTGTTGGACTTGACTATGTGTGAGTTTTGGATTTGATTAATATGATAGATCTATCTTTGTCGGACTCCAAAACATTCCTTATCAGTCTTTGTGTGTGCATTACTCACTCACACACCAGTCTCTGTATCCCCATCTCTTATCTCCTCTATGGTAATTGCAGACATGACGTCAGATGTCAGTAACTTCTACTCTCTGCTCTGCCTTAGGGGCAGGAAACACCAAAAAAGGAAAGAAAATAGACAAAAAAATCTCAGGCTGCCGACACTAGCACTTCATGTCGAGAGACAAATATGTACCATTGGTAATATTGCTTCAGGCAACAGTTTACGGAAACTCAATGCAAATATTAATGGCACATAAGTTAGTCACTTGAATGTTTATGGGTTAAATTTAGAGCAAGTTTGTAAGACAGAAGTATGTCTGTGGTGGTGAGGTTGTACACTTTACAAGCAACGTAATTATGTGGCTTTACAATGATGTGGAATCCTGCAACGTACATTTCTCAAGTTCCACATAAGTCAAACCTGTTTGTTATATGTCACTCCTAGTGCGCTGTTGTCTATTGTGAACAACACTGACATATCAAGTGACATTTTATTTACATTTAGTCATTGAGCAGGACAGACACGAGTCAAATACACTACCAGTCATAAGTTTTAGAACACCTACTCATTCAAAGGTTTTTCTTTATTTTTACTATTTTCTACATTGTAGAATAATAGTGAAGACATCAAAACTATGAAATAACACATATGGAATCGTGTAGTAACCAAAAAAGTGTTAAACAAATCAAAATATATTTGAGATTTGAGATTCTTCAAATAGCCACCCTTTGCCTTGATGACAGCTTTGCACACTCTTGGCATTCTCTCAACCAGCTTCATGAGGTAGTCACCTGGAATGCCTTTCAATTAACAGGTGTAACTTCTTAAAAGTTCATTTGTGGAATTTCTTTCCTTCTTAATGCGTTTGAGCCAATCAGTTGTGTTGTGACAAGGTAGGGGGGGTTCACAGACGATAGCCCTATTTGGTAAAATACCAAGTCCATATTATGGCAAGAACAGCTCAAATAAGCAAAGAGAAACAAAAGTCCATCATTACTTTAAGACATGAATGTCAGTCAATACGGAACATTTCAAGAACTTTGAAAGTTTCTTCAAGTGCAGTCGCAAACACCATCAAGCACTATGATGAAACTGGCTCTCATGAGGACCGCCACAGGAATGGAAGACCCAGAGTTAACTCTGCTGCAGAGGATAAGTTCATTAGAGTTACCAGCCTCAGAAATTGTATCCCAAATAAATGCTTCACAGAGTTCAAGTAACAGACACATCTCAACATCAACTGTTCAGAGGAGACTGTGTGAATCAGGCCTTCATGGTCGAATTGCTGCAAAGAAACCACTACTAAAGGACACCAATAAGAAGAAGAGACTTGCTTGGGCCAAGACACACGAGCAATGTGTCCAAATTTGAGATTTTTGGTTCCAATCACAATGTCTTTGTGAGTCGCAGTGTGGGTGAACGGATGACCTTCGCATGTGTAGTTCCCACCGTAAAGCATGGAGGAGGAGGTGTTACGGTGTGGGGGTGCTTTGCTGGTGACACTGTCTGTGATTTATTTAGAATTTAAGGCACACTTAACCAGCATGGCTACCACAACATTCTGTAGCGATACGCCATCCCATCTGGTTTGGATTTAGTGGGACTATCATTTGTTTTTCAACAGGACAATGACCCAAAACACCTCCAGGCTGTGTAAGGGCTATTTTACAAAGAAGGAGAGTGATGGAGTGCTGCATCAGATGACCTGGCCTCCACAATCCCCCGACAACCAAATTGAGATGGTTTGGGATGAGTCGGAACACAGAGTGAAGGAAAACCAGCCAACAAGTGCTCAGCTTATGTGGGAACTCCTTCAAGATGGTTGGAAAAAGCATTCCAGGTGAAGCTGGTTGAGAGAATGCCAAGAGTGTGCAAAGCTGTCATCAAGGCAAAGGGTGGCTATTTGAAGAATCTCAAATATAATATATATATAATATATGTTTAACACTTTTTTTGGTTACTACATGATTCCATATGTGCTATTTCATAGTTTTGATGTCTTCACTATTATTCTACAATGTGGAAAATAATAAAAATAAAGAAAAACCCTTGAATGAGTAGGTGTTCTAAAACTTTTGTCCGGTAGTGTACATTTATCAAATACTTCAGGTGCGCTTGATTTAGCTTGACTGGTACTATGGGACCAATGGAATAGTCCCAAAAGTGCAAACTCCTCCCACCCTACACTCCAGTCAAAGGTCGTGTGAGCAGTCTTCTGTAAACTTAAGTCATGTTTTAAACCACTCATTTAATACTTTTGTCTAAGTCGGAATGAAGCTTTGAACATCAGCTGAAATGGATAGAGTCCATTGACCAGAGAGGGAAATTAGATAATGAAAATTAAAGGTTCCTCAAAGAAGAGGAATACCAACAAAAAATCCAAAGTTCTTCCATTTTCCCTTCTCGGATATTGCTAAGCTAACAATTTGGAATCATGGAATGATTTCAAGTGAAAACTTAGATTTTAGTAATCCCTTTTCCATTTCTTAATCATTTGCAAGGGAAACCATACTCTTTTGCATGGATTTTTACGGCACAATGGATAAATTGCAGTTCCTACAAAAAAATGATATACTCTGCTTTCTAAATAAACTTCAGGCACATTAAAGCAGCAAACTAATTAAATCACATCCTTTCATTGAGGTTAGGCCACATCGAAGGAAGCAGTTCTTAACTGGAACCACTTGTGTTCGCTTTATTGGTTTCCCTCCAACCATAAACATGTTCTCTCAAGCAACATTCAATGTGCACTACTGAACCTTAGCAAATCTTTTCGACAGCCTAATTTTATATAGGTTTTCCCCCATGAAATATTCCACCCTTCAACACAAGTATGTATGAAGTATGAAGCACCCTTGAATGTGAAACCCTGTAAATGACAATAATTGAATTGGATGAGTGAATTGTTCATTTAAATTGTATGCATTCCAAATGACACCATATTCCCTATATAGTGCACTATATAGGGAATATGGTGTCATTTGGGATGCACACATGATTACTACATTGTCTCTGTGACCTGGTCAGTTCTCTCTCCTTTCTAAACTGGAGTTTGATGAAAATGGCATTTCTGTCTGTTTATCTCCTCTAGAATGCAGGACAGTTTTTAGATGTTATATCTAGGACTTTTACACAAACACTATTTGAATACATCTCCGAAGTCTACATTATTGATATGTTCCCTGTGAGTACGTTGTAAGGCCGAGCCAAACTGAAGATAATTAACACATATAGGATCCATAAGGAATGTAATAGTGATTACGCAATGTGCGCTTGTTTCTATAAAGGCTAAATAAAGTGATGTTACTTGTAATGCTGCAAGGACCAATAATTTTAACAAAAAGGTTAAGAAGGCAGGTAAAATGCTAAGTAAAAGGTAAGCTAACCTTCTGCCTCGTTTTGAGTTAAGGAAGGAGTTTTTTGAGGAGAAGAAAGCAGAAAACCATTATTGGAGAGGTTCCATCTTGTCTCACGACTGCTTTGGCTCATGTGCTTTTAAAGATGTTATAGTTAAAAGAGCTGGACTGGCTCATTAAAAATGCTC